GGCTAAGGGCAGCACTTTGCTCCTTAATACGGTAAGAGTGGCACGAAATCAGCAAACCTCAGAGAGAAGTTTCTAGGAAATATGACAACATCCACCTTCTGGAATTGGGATTGCAAAAAAACCTGGATTCCGCCAAATAAGTATAAATATGCCATGTGGGGGCCAGGGGAGAGGTAGAAGGCCCGGGGATAAGAGGAGATAGGTGGGTGGATAGTAGATAGATGGATAGATAGAAAGAAGACAGACGGATTAAGGAACAGAGATGACAGACACACGATAGAAGAAGGAAAGATGGATGGGTGGATGGGTAGGTGGGTGGGTGGATGGATGGATGGATTGATGCATGCATGCATGGATAGATGAGTGTATGGATGGATGGATGGATGGATGGATGGATGGATGGGTGTATGGATATGTGGATGGATGGATGCATGGATAGATGAGTGTATGGATAGGTAAATGGATGGATGGATGGATGGATGGATGGATGGATGGATAGGTGTATGGATATGTGGATGGATGGATGCATGGATAGATGAGTGTATGGATAGGTGAATGGATGGATGGATGGATGGATGGATGGATGGATGGATGGATTAATGGATGGATGGATGGGTGGATTGGTAGGTGGATGGATAGGTGGATGGATGGATGCATAGATGGATTAATGGATGGATGGATGGATGGATGGATGGATGGATGGATGGATGGATGGATAGGTGTATGGATGGTGGATGGATGGATGCATAGATAGATGAGTGTATGGATGGATGAATGGATGGATGGATGGATGGATGGGTAGGTGGATGGATGGATGCATGGATAGATGAGTGTATGGATGGATGAATGGATGGATGGATGGATGGATGGATGGGTACGTGTATGGATGGTGGATGGATGGATGCATAGATAGATGAGTGTATGGATGGATGAATGGATGGATGGATGGATGGATGGATGGGTAGGTGTATGGATAGGTGGATGGATGGATGCATGGATAGATGAGTGTATGGATGGATGAATGGATGGATGGATGGATGGATGGATGGATGGACAGGGTGGGGAGAGGGGAGAGATGTCCAGAACAGAGTGGACTTTGAGAAGGGCTCGCACTTTGCTGGCGAGGTCAATCTCACTTGGAATCTTCAGGGCGTGATGCAATGGCATGAAAGTAACTGAGGGCTAAAAAGTGTGGACACAAAGTGTTGTGAGCAATCCCCTAGGCGGATCAGTGGTGTGGGCTCCAATTATCCTTAACCCTCAATGGAGAAGGTCATATTTGTGAAGAAATTTATTTTTAACCGGGAAAGGCCAGCAAAATTAAGACAAAACGGTCCCATTAAGAGAGGGCACACTGTGTTTGCTAGCTCCGTGGTGCACTTGGCTCAGTTTACCCCCAATTCTAGCAAATGGAAAGAACTCACACAGATCGTGCCCTGCGGACCAGGGTGAGGCTAAGTGATGCTTATTGAGACATCTTTGGGGAAACAGAAAACCCTGAGAGACCTCATTACCCAAACAGCCAATTACTTCCGAATTGCCTGGGTGCCGAGAGTAAGTTGGGACCGGTCGGTTCACAGGCCACCATTTGTGCAGTAAAGAACACGCTTCATGTCCTGCTCGGCCCAGTCTCCATGCTCCCCGCAGACGTGTCCAAACGGAAAATCCGTGACTCGGCATTCACAGCGGTGTGCTCAGATCCGGTCTGCGTTTAAGCGATCATCTGCTTTTTTCCTCCGGTTTTCCTGATTTGTACTCAGCTACTTCCTCCAGCATCCTAGAAAACCGGAGGCCACTGCAATTAATTCCCGACGAGACAGCCCACGGATGCGGACGCCACGCAGGGATTCTCTGCTCTGCGGCACGGCCTCGTGCCGTCCCGTGCTGTGGACACCAGGCAGGCGTTCGTGTCAGAGGCAGATTCACCTCTGGCAAAAAGGGAAAATGCGGACTACCCTGGATCCATGAAGAATAAAAGGGCTTTCTTTGCTCAAAATAGCCAATCGGTCTCAGATCTGTTGTTTCGAGTTTTTCAACAAACAAGCTGTCACCTGAGCGTTCCGGGTCAATCATCTAAGATTGGACGTGCGCGGGGCGCGGTGGCCGTGCTCGGTCACATGCTCCCAGCCCGCGGGCGCTGCGATGCCAGGGACCACGGCGCCTTGACGTGCCAGACCAAGGAGAGTTGGGGGCTACTGCTGCTGCCCTGGAGCCAAAGGACAATGCATGTTCCAGCAAATGACCAAAAAAACGAATGTCGATGCCTCTGACAAAAGGCAGATGTGTTATTTACGCAAACGGAAAACTGAAAGTGGCTAGTGGAGTTTTCCAACGCCAAGCTTAAGGAGGAGAATAATCCTCCACACAGTTTGGCTTAGAACAATCTAGTCGCACAGAATGCCACAGACGGAGCCTCGGTGGCCATCCCCACTCTCACCCGGCGATCTGTTCCGTGGCACGCAGACTTCCGACCCTCGGTCCCGTTTGGACTTCCTCGGCGGCCCGCGCCGTGCAACGGAGCTCACGGGGACCCAGGTGCAGTCTGGGTGCCAGATCGCATGTGCTCCTTACCCTGCCCCCCACCCTTTTTCTCGCCCCGACTGTCTCGTTCCAGCTTTGTCCAGCTTTCGTCACAGTTCCGAATATCTCGCAGCGATACGTGGGGCCGATATAGCTCCCGTGCTCGTTGCAGTTGGAAGTCGCTCTCAGAGCTAGCTCGCTCAGAGCTGCACGGGGCTGGGACCCAACCTGTTTGCGTCTCTCTGTTCCCGCACGTGGGAAACCGGGACGCAGAGAGGTACGATGGCCCACCCACACCCCAGCCGCCGGAGAGTGTGAAAGCCACGGCTAGGCCACTGCCCTGAGCCCGCCCGCAGTGGCGTCTGGTTCTTTAGGCCGCCTCGCCTGCCTCGAACTGCAGAACGCACGCGAGCCGGGCGTGGCTCCCGCTTCACAGGCTTCGGAGAAGCTGCTTTGGAGGGAAAGGGGCTCCCTTCTCAGCCGGGGCTCCCTTATGACTTGGTCGAAAATCTACTATGAAAGAAACAGTGTCGCGCTTCTCAAAAAAATTAAAAAATAGAATTTCCGTTGTATGATCGGCCGTCGCAATTCCGGGCAAACACCCAGGAGAACTGAAAGCAAAATTTCAAGGAGGTATTTGCACAACCGTCTTCACGGCAACACCGTTCACAGTAGCCAGGAGGCGGAAACAAACCCAAATGTCCATCCACAGATGACGCATAAAGAAGGTGACACACACATGCACACACACACACACACACACACAATTATTCCATCCCAAAAAGGAAAGAAATCTGACACTTGCTTCAAAGTGCATGAACCTCGAGGACATCACGCTACGAGAAATGAGCCACTCGCAGAAGGACACATACCTTACAATTCCATTTACACGCAACACCTAGAGTCGTCAAATTTATAGCCACGGAAAGGAGAACAGTGGTCACCAGGGGCCGGGAGCGGGGAGAACGGGGGTTGTTACTCGGCGGGTATGGAGTTCGGGTTTTGCAAGATGAGAGGCAGGAGATCTGTAGTGCAACAACGTGAACGGACTTCACTGAATTGCACATTTAAAAACGGTCGAGACAGCAAATTTTATGTTACATGTTTTTATCACAATCAAGATTTTTTTTTTTTACAAAAAGGAAATCATGCTCCTAAAATATAACCACCAGGTACAATCTGAGCTCGAGGTAACACGGCCTCTCTCCTGCAGGCCCGTGTGCTCAGAGAGGCTGGTGCTCAGTTTCTCCTCTGACTTGGCCGCAGAGACCCCAACGAGAAAACACAATGCACATTCCTTTCTCTTCCCAGATGTCGCCAAAAGAAATATTTCTGTGTCACTTTCCCGGTTTCCAAATCTGCTAGGAAGAAAGAAATGGAGCCTTTCTCTCTGCTGCATATTATCACCGAGAGAACTAATTAAAGTTTCACGGAGAAGCCTTTTGGACAGATGGTTTCACTACTTTAATTAAGTATATATATTAGACTGTTGGAATTAATACAGTTGACACGACAGACGTTGTCTGTGCTCATTTAGAATTTTTAGTCATTTGCTGTCTACGTGGTGTCAGAATCAGGACCCCCTGTGAATTTTATTCTGTTCAATTTAGCAGTTTATTCATATTTTGTCATTTTATGGTTGTTTCTGAGTAGTCTTCAAGTCTGATCCTTAAAGATAAAATGCCTTTCCATAGGTGTGAGGCTCATTTTAGTTAGGATGAACCCTTTGGTGGCCAGTAATCCAACCATAATGTTTTCTGGTCTCAGCCTATCGTGCATGAGGTTTTGTCAAGCATATGCTCACTGCCAAATCTAATCTCATGAAGCTTTCCCCCTACATTTTCTTCTAGGAGTTTTATGCTTTCAGGTATAAAAGCTCTTTAATCCATTTCGAGTTAATTTTTGTCTATGGCATGAGACAAGGGTAGAGCTTCACTGTTTTGCAAGTGGATACCCAGTTTTCTCAGCACCGTTTGTTGGAAAGCCTATTCTTTCCCCATGGAGTGGTCTTGGCGCCCTCGTCAAAGATCACTTGGCCACATACCTGAGGACTTATTTCTGGGCTTTCCCACCGATTCCGCTGCCCCATGTCTGTCTTTGTTACGACATCATGCTGTCATCAAGTTGAGTACTATGGTTTTATTACATGTCATGTTTGAAATCAAGAAACATGAAACCTCCAGCACTTCTTTTACAAGATTGCTTGGCTAAAAGGGAATGAATGAGATTCCACACTAATTTTAGCATGGATTTTTTTCCATGCCTGCAAAAAAAAAAAAAATGTTGGAGTTTGGACAGTGATTTCATCGCATCTATAGGTAGCTTTGGATAATACTGACGTCTTAGCAATACCGTCTTCCAGTCCACAACACAGGATGTCTTCTCATTTCCTGGTGTCTTCTTTAACAGCTTTCAGCAACATTTTCTAGTTTTCAATGTAGTTTTAACTTTTTTTTTTTTTTGCAAGTCTTTCACCTCCTTGGTTAAGTTTATTCCACAAAAGATTATTTTTTAAAAAAACAAAACTACTGCATCTGAGCAGAAGGCAGTTTCTCTTCCATGTTCTCCATTTCTTAGTGAACATAAAGTCTGAGTAACTGCTAAATGGTGTTTAAGTCTCCTTTTTAAGGAATCCTATTGCAGGCCATCAGTGCCTTAATAATAATCGCACTGTTGTCAGCTCACTCCAAAGCAGGCTCATTTAGACCCCAGCCCAAGGCCAGGACCTCTGGGGCAAAAAGACACGTTCTCCAAGACAACCCACACCTGGAAGACTGGCGTTGTGACCGGACCCTCGGCGAGTGGAAGGGGAAGGGCCGTGTTTTCCTGCAGTTCTCCGGCCTGGGGAGGGCAGTTGCACGGGACGCCGTGGAGATCGCTAATTACAGGGAGGTGGCAAATGACTCCGACCATTGTGACACCGGTCTTGGGAGTGAGCTAGGAGCAATTACGTTGCAAGTAAGTCAGCACAAAGGCATGACTAAAGTGGCCCTCGCAAGTGGCCACACTGCCCACGGGCGGAGCAGCTCTGAGACATCACGCCCCGAGTCTCTTCCGGGGAGCAAGTTCGGGTGTGTGTGGCCGGGGCGCCCACCAGCACCCCGGGGAGGCCCAGCACAGCCCCGGGTCAGGCTCCCCAGAAGGAGTCTGACTGAGACTGACATGTCCCAAGAGCCAGCAAGGACATCTCGAGATCCAGGTCCTGAATGTTTTGAAACCCCCACCCGACCCTGGCTACACCTGCCTCGGCCCAGCAGCCTCCCCTTTCAGGCTGCGCCCGCTCCCCGAGCCCACCTGCACGGCCCCAGCCCTAACCTAAGGGACAGGGAGGGGTGACAGGGGCCGAGGGGTGCAACGGCGGGGAGGAGAATTTCTCGATGTTTCTCCTAAGCATGGACAAGGTGATGTCCAGTAGGATGGCCAGGGACCGTCACACAAGCCGCTCAGTGTGTCCTTGTAGATCCCTGGGGCAGTGGACAGGTGAGCACCCCTCCCTCCACGTGCACCCCTCCCTCCCACATGCACCCCTCCCTCCCCTGTGCACCCCTCCCTCCCACGTGTACCCCTCCCTCCTGAGTGCACCCCTCCCTCCCGTGTGCACCCTCCCTCCCGTGTGCACCCTCCCTCCCACGTGCACCCCTCCCTCCCGCGTGCACCCTCCCTCCCGCGTGCACCCTCCCTCCCGTGCTCACGAAGCAGCAACACACGGCTCTGACCTCCGCAGGACAGACGCAGGGAGCAAAAGCAATTTCAGAGTGAGACGTGCACCGTCTGGGGAATGGTCACTCTTGAAGCTCTGACTCGATGGGGGAGAGGGGAGCAAGGACAATATACACAACCTTAACATTTGTACCCCCATAACATGCTGAAATTTTTTTAAAAAATGGAAAAAAATTACAAAAGCAATTTCAGCACACCAGCCCCAGAGCGTGGCCCCAGCACGGGCGCCGCCAGCGCTCACCGCTCGGCCAGGTCTGACTCACCAGCGCCGACCAGAGAGTCACCCACGGCCCGGTGACCTGTGAACTGTGCGGCTCCGAGAAGGCGCACCTATTTCTGCGTTGGGAGCAAAGGGGAAACGGAAACTTACTTTTAAGTTTTTTAATAGCTGTGACGTGCATGTACCTTCCCGAATCGGCCGCGTTTGCAGACACCCGGGTTAGTCGGACCGCGGCCCAGCGGAACTGTTCTGAGGTCCAGCCAGAGCCCCGGGCGTGGGAGCCCAGGCAGGCTGGCCACCGGGAGCTGTCCCCAGGGCAGTGAGCAAACCTGCGGGCCTCGGCCCCTCCCAGCCTCGCCCCGCAGGACAAGCACCTCCAAGCGGCCCGCCCACGCCCGCGTGACCACACGCTCCCCGCCCACGCCCACGTGACCCGCATGCCCTGGGAACATAACAAACCTGAGGACACAGGTCCGTCGGCTCCGAGAGTCTCTGTTGCACGCAGGGTCACGCACTGCTGCCTAAACATCCCTAAGTTCATCCAGAGGAACTCCTCACGGCCTCCCTAAGCCCTGCCCGCCAGCCGGTCCCGGGGTCCCTGACCCTGGCTGGACACGTGCCGTCCACCTGTCTGGAGGCCTGGACACCAGCCGCCCTTCCTTGCGCCTCCTTCTGTCCCCCCAGCCCGGCTCCCTGCTCCCCACCTGCCAGCTCTGCTGGTTTGACCTCCTCGGTGCGTCTCGACCCTCCCCTCCTCCCGGCCCCGCACCTGGGCCGGGACGCCTCTGGGCTGGGCCGCCCCGCAGGCTCCTGGCTCGTCCTAGGGTGTGCTCCTCTTGCCTGCCCTCTGCAAGGACACCAGACACCCTCTCTGTCACCTGAAGCCGGCATTTGTGATGGCCTGAAATGGCTTAACCCACAAAAAGTTGGAAGGACCACGTCGAGCTCCTCCAAGCTCCACCTGCTGAGCTGTCAGCCACTCAGCTCCAGCCTGCCCCCCACACTGCCCAGCAACCCCAAACCTGCAGCTTCCAGGACACTCCGTGCCCTTAGTCTCGGGTGTGACTCGGCTGTGCAGCCCTGGTGCCTGGCCACGCCCCTGGCCATCACCTCCTCCAGAAAGCCTTCCCTGACCAGCCCAGGTCCCCAGTAAATCTCGCCCCTGCTCCAAAAGGTACCCTGGGAATGACGCTGCGCTGACCACCTGTGTCCCTTCCCATCCGTGCTGGCCCAGAGCTCCCAGGGCGGAAGCGGGGTCCTCACATGCCAGCACCTGGAACCGAGTAGCCCTCGGTGAATATTTACCGGATGAATCAGAGGAAGTGTTGGCTGCAGCTTATTCACACTAGCATGCAAGTGACTGATACTCATCCTTTCTTGAGAGTGAGGGCTGACGGGGGAGAGGAAGGGAGAGTCCCCCGAGCCCCGTGCAGGTAAGGCGAAGGAAGCAGCCCCGTCTGGAGAGGGACAGGCCCAGGGAGGGGGAGACCGAGCCCCCCAGCCCGGACTGCTTTTGAAGGTCAGCTTGGCTCTGCACACCCCCCAAAGGCTCGTGGTTCCTATCTGAGCAAGCGAGAGGCACTTACGACAGTTCCTAGGTGGAAACCTTCCGGAAGGGCAAGGGACGTCCGGCAGCCTGCAAGATCGGACACCTGACGTGGGGCAGGTGGTGAGCCCACCTGCGCCGGAGCTGCTTCACAGCGACCTCGGCACCCACGGCCGCCCGCCCTGAGCCACAGCCGGGCGCTTCCCACAGCCCAATTAGCAGTAGCAGGGCGGTGAGTTCACGCGGCCCGGCCCGGAGCTTCCGATACGCCTTCCGGCTGCCGCGGAGCAGGCCGGGGGGACCAGGGAGCCCTCCCAGGGCTCGCTGCTGCCACCCGAGGCAGAGGCCACCCCCCTGGGGAGCAGGACTCTCCCGGAAAGTCCCGGCCCGGATGCATGCTGGGGACAAGACAGGACACCAGCCGGGACGGCGCGTCCAGCCTGCCGCCCGCCCGCTCTGGGCTGAGCCCCAGCCCCGGCCCCCGCCTGGCAGGCCCTGGTCCAGGTCCGGGTCCTGCTCCTGTGACCCAGGCTCCCACCACCTCCCCCTCGGGGCTGCTCAGAGCCCGTCCCGGGGCAGCCACCTGGCCCTGTCCCCACACGGCTCCAGGTGCTGGCTCTTTGAGTCTCTGCCCTCCTCCCTTTGCAGGTCACAGACGCACCTGTCCCCTGCTCCCACCCACCGTCCAGACGAGTGACCCCATCTGCCACGTGCCGTGTGACAGCCCCTTGCAGACCCGAGGTGTCCTGGAGCTTGGACGATTACAGAGGGACGGCAGTAAGGACTTTGTCTTGAGGACTTCGTCCTGGGCTGTCCCTCTCTGAGCCAGAGTTCCATCGCAGCTCGGGCTGTCCCTCTCTGAGCCAGAGTTCCATCGCAGCTCGGGCTGTCCCTCTCTGAGCCAGAGTTCCATCGCAGCTCGGCACCCAGAGCACAGGGGAGGTGCCACTGGTCAGAGGACGCGCCCCTGAGTGGACACCAGAGTGGCACAGGCCGTCGGGAGGACACCGGCTGCCTGCTGCCATCGTAGCCCTGCTGACCTGGAGTCACGCAACAAAGCTCACTCACACCCATTAAGCCACAGACACCCATCCGGCTTAAAGTCGCGTGTTACAACCCAGACCCAGGACAGACCTTGATGTTGTGTACGTAGTATCCAGCGTGGTCAGACCAGTGAAGACACTGCAAATTCCCACAAGGGAAAAAGAGGACAGAGACGGGAAGTGAAAAGGTAGAACAAACATCACCAGGGCCTGTGTGAGCAGCTGCAGGGACTGGACTTCATTTTGTCTGAGCCAGCTCAGAAAAGGATTCCAACACACACACACACACACACAGGTGATCGCTTCATGGTGCTGTTTGGTGACCCCTTTCTGACATGCAAATGCAACTTTGCACTTTCAACCCTCTTCCCAACTGTGGATTCCCACATACTTGCCCTAGAAACTAAAGGTCACAGATCCGATGAGCGAACCTCTGCCAGTGACTTTATTTGTCTATCAAAATAGCCTCCTTCTTTTCTGGAAATGGTTGTCTGCATATTAGTCAAAATAATTTATGTGTTTTTTTCTAGGGAATGGCAAGGAACGAGGGCAGCCACTCAACAGGCTCAGGGACGTCACAGCGCTGGTTTACGGGGTTCTCTGGGTGTGCAGGACGGGGTGGTGGCAGGGAGGGGCCAGGCGGTGCGTGGCTGGGGTGGGAGGAAAGGAGATCCCCCCTAGCAAGGAGCAGAGTGTGCCTCTCACCTTCGGGTCGCTGCAGAGAAGCACGGAGGGCTTGACCCGACCAGGGTCAGCCCCAGGGAGACTGTGGCCTCACTCAGGACCGGGGGTCTCTATGCCCCAACCCCCCTGCAAGCCAGGTCGCAGGCGCGAGTGTACGTGCCGAGGTCTGAGAGAGCCCACGCCCATAATGACAGGAAGGGTGTCGGTGCTGTCGGGATCCGGCCCAATTATCCAGATGAGATAGCAGCGTGTGCATGCCATGGGAATGCCGCGACTCAGCGCCTCTTAACCGGCCGCCTTCCCTTAACTGGGGAAACTGCTACCGCCTGGACAGCTCCCCAGGCTGCTCCCTGTCCGAGCCTAAGAGTCACGAACGTGCAAATCAGCATTTGTGTTGGAGGATCACCGGCCACACCAGGGAGCCGGTTTTGACTTAAGCATAACAGCTACCTACCCTGAAAGCAGGGCCTGTGCCACGCTGCGCCATGCTACATGACACTCTGTGATACTGTGCTATGCTGTGCTACACCGTACTACAATATGCCATGCTACAGTACACTATGCCATATCACACTGCGCCAGGCTACGTGGCACTCTGCGATGCTGTCCTATGCTGTGCTACACCGTACTACACTATGCTACACTACACTATGCAATATCACACTGTGCCATGCTACATGACACTCTGCAATACTGTGCTATGCTGTGCTACACTGTACTACACTATGCCACGTTACACTACACTATGCCATATCACGCTGCGCCATGCTACGTGTCACTCGGCAATGCTGTGCTATGCTGTGCTACACCGTACTCCACTATGCACGCTAACAGCTACACTGATGCATAATCACACTGCCCAATGCTAATCGTGACACTCTGCGATAGCTGTGCTATGCTTGCTACACTGTAACTACACTATGCCTGACGCTATCACCACCACTATGCCATCATCACACTGCCCACATGCTACGTGTCGACTTCGCAATGCTCGGTGCTATGCTCGTGCTACCACCGTACTCCACTAGCCACGCTACACTACTCACTATGCATATCACACTGCGCCATGCTACGTGTCCATCGCTCACATGCCTGTGCTATGCCTGTGCTACACCGTACTCCACTAGTGCCACGCTATCACTACACCTATGCCTATACACACTGCGCCATGCTACGTGTCACTCGGCAATGCTGTGCATGCCTGTGCTACACTGTACTCACACCTATGCCACCTCACACTACACTATGCCGATAATCCACACTGGCCATGTCTACATGTCCACTCGGCAATGCTGTGCTATGCTGTGCACATCGTACTCCCCTATACATGCCACGCTAAACTTACACAATTGCCATATCACACTTGCGCCATGCTACGTTCACTCGCAATGCTCTGTGCTATGCTGTGCTCTACACTGTAACTCACCTATGCCACGCTAACACTGATGCCATAGATCACACTCGCGCCATGCTACCGTGTCACCACTCGGCAATGGCTGTGCTATGCGTGCCTAACCGTACACCCCACCTATGCCAATGCTACACTACACTAATGCCATAACTCACCACTGCGCCATGCTACGTGACCTCTGCGATACTGTTCTAATGCTGTTGCTACACTGTAACTAACACATGCTACGCCTAACACTATGCCATACATCACCTGCGCCATGCCGTGACACTCCTGCGATACTGTGCATGCTGTGCTACACCTGACTACATATGCCCTTACGTACACTAACTGCCATAATCCAACTGCGCACCATGCTACGTGTCACTCGGCAATGCTGTGCTATGCTGTGCTACACC